TTTTCTAATAGTATTATTATTTTTTTGCCAACTATCATGATTAAATATGTACACGTATTGTTCAGTATAGTTACAAAAATATTTTACTTCATTATATCTCCAAGTTACTCCAAGAAAGTGTCTGGCTTTATCTTGAAGTTCACAGTGATTACAGATAGGTAAGTTGAGTTATTATTGAATAAAGCAATCAGAATAATATTGCTTTTCAGATTCATTTTTATCTTTAGCTTCTGAAATAGTTTTATTATTCATAAAGTATTTACAATATGAGCATTTAATTATTCTTTCTTTTAGCTTTAATTTTTGTAGGACTTTACTTTTTGAAAAGAATCTTTCTTCAGTGATTGGTATCTTCTCTAATTCTCAGATATATTTTACTTCTAACTATCAGTCTTTAGTTTTATTCTGAAATAAAATTGTTGATAAATTATTCAGAGTATTCATTTTGATATTAATTCAAATAACTAAATTATTAAAATATTGAGAATATTTATATTTGGGTATTAGTAATTTATGATGACACCAACATTCAGTTGCAGAATCTCTCCAATCAAAAGTCTATTAAGAACTTTGATAGTGAATCTGCTAGAATCTTCTTTCCAATTTCAAATATTCTTCTCAGATGAGAGTGATATCTTTGCCTTGTATTTCTTCTTTAAAGATTTTAATATTTCTAACTTTAGGAATTGAATTTATGGTTAGGTAAGAAACTTTTTCAAAGTCCATATCATTAAATTATCTGAGTGAAGTATAAATCTGAGTCTAGAATTTGTCAGATATCCATCATAGAAAATTATGATCTTCTAGATTTTGCTCTTCAATTTTAAATTTATCATCAGAAGTTTTACTAGAGGATGTTTCAGTATTATCATCACTATCTTTAGATATAGCATTTTGTTATTCATAGATGAATTTGATTAATACTCTTTCTTCTTTTCCATTTCAATTAAAGATCATTATATTTTTCTTTAGATCAATTTTAGCATTGATCTTATTTAACTAGTCCATTTCTACTACAAGATTATAAGTTCAAGTTTCAGTAATATTTATTTTAGCTAGAATTATAATTCTATCAATGGTGATAGAGAAGTTATCAATAGCTCCTAATAGTTGCTTGGAATGTTCATTAATATTAGACATGGAAATATTTGATTTTTGTTGAATCTTTATTCCTAATCATTTAAAAAATTCATGACTGATAATATATCCTGATACTTTAGTATTCATGATCAAGTTTACAGGAGTCTTTCCAACTTTGGCTTCATACCAGGCTGAGATTGTTTTAATTTTTTGGATAAATATTATTTTTCATTTAAGTTTCTTTTATATTTTCTTTCTTATTTCTTTTGATATTCAAATTTTTTATTCAGGTGAGATCTTGATGAGTTATGCAATAGTAATGTTGACTTTCTGTAATGTCAAATCTTCAAGTATATCATAGATTTTTGCATGTTTGACTAGAATTGAAAGATGTACTCTTCCTTTCTTTCATTTCTTCTTCTCCAAGTTGGTCTTGTCTTCTTCAGTACTTCAGGTAAGGGTTGGATAACTTCATTTTCTTTTTCACTTTCTTCTTTTTCTTTAATAATTCTTTGATATTTTCTTTCTTCAGCTAGATAATCATGAGTTGCTAGTAATAAAAAACTAGATTAGATGGATGAATCACTAGATAGATCATTATCAGATGCTTATAAAGCAACTATTAAATTTTGAATTTGAGTGAGAAGAGAAGTAGTATCCAGATTTTGTGAATTATTAGATTGCTGATTATTATTTCAGATATTCTGATTTTGCTAATTATTATTGTTATTATTATTGTTCTAATTCTGATTATTCTAGTTTTAGAGGATATTTTAATTATTAGATAACTGATTTACTGATTGAGAGTTATTTGAACAAACTCTACTAACATGTTCTTTTCCTTCACAACTGTAACAGATAATACCTGATCTATCTCTTGGTTAATTTCATTGCTAATTATTATTATTATTATTATTATTATATCTTCTGCCAGATTCTATATAGTCTAATCTACTGGTCAGATCTTGCAAGATCTTAGCTAGAGCACTCAATTCACCAGTTGATTAAACTTGAGTTTGGTGATAAGTTTGTTTGAGTAAATTTGAATCAGCTTCTTCCATATTTTTGACAATTTCAATAATACTTTCTATAGTATTATCAGCATTTAGATTAATCCATTTTCAAATTTCAGATTTAAGATCTTTCTTGAAAATTTGAATCTTATATTCTTCTGGGTAAACTTGTTCTAAATCTACTTTACTTTCTAATTCCATGAATTAATTTATATATTCTTTAACTATTCCAATTTACTTTAGGAATTTCAATTCATCTTGCTACTATTATATCTTATGAGATGAATAGAATTTAAGAATAAATTGGGAAGTGAAATCATATTTATTATGATCTTGATTTGTCTATTCATTTAATCTAAGGATGTCACTCATAAATTATTGATCAAATCAGACAGTAGTTGATCTCTCTAGGTATCCTCTTACTATCTTAATTTTTTTGTTATTGATAATTCTATTAGCTTTGGTGACTACTTTAAAGTTATGTAATTATTTAATTAGATTCTGATTATTACTCTTAAATTTACAAATTGAAATAGGAATCTTTTTCATTTTTTGTATCTTCATAAATTAAGTTAATTCTTTAAGAGCTTGAATGAGACTGTTTATTTTATCTGATATGGTAATTTTTTCTTTTGATTGAGACTTCTGAGATTGAATTTATTTGATTATAACTGTTGATTCTTCAAGATCTTCTGAACTACTACTTTCATATTCTGATTCTGTTGGTTGATTGATTGAGGAGATTTCAAAGTTATCTATTTCTTCAAGAACAAGAAGAATATTATTAACTAGATAGGTCTGTTGTTCAACTGTGATTTTGATTCCAAATATGAAGGTGTTTAATAATTTGATAATTTCTTTTCAAAGTTGATTAGTATAAGATTTTGTTATACTATATTATCAAAAAGTTCCTGTGATAATCTGTTGTGTAAGATCACGTGATAATCCTGAGTCCAGATGAGAAAATTTATAAATATTCTATCTGAATTTTTATTAACAGGAAATAGTAAGAGCAGTAGTTGTACAGTTCAATATGAAATAAGAATTTCCAAGAGTCTTTTTTGTTGTATTCACTGAGATATAGATCAATTGAAAGTCTAATAAAAGAGTAATATATACCATAAACTAATAAATTATTTAAATAACAGAGTATTTTAAGAATAGCTAATTCTTAAAATAATTAAAATAAATAATAAATGAAAATAATAAAATTGAGTTAACTGGAATCTCTGGATGAGTGAGGACTACAAAAAGGGTATCAAATATTACAAATTATATTCTGAAAGATAGATTTTATTATAAATATAGTTTATAATAAGTTTTGAGGGTAAAGATTGATAAAGATTAAGAGAATAATAATTATTTTAAAGATTTTCTAGTACTAATACTTATGAGTATTATATCAATATAAGACAAAAATAAAATAAAACAAAAATATAAAAATGAAGTTATGATTACAAAAACTAAACTAAAAGTAAAATATCTAAAACTAAATAACAAATACTATAACTAAAACAAAAGATTTAGTATACTGACTAAACACTCTAATAGTATCTTTTCAATGATTAGTGCCAGTATGACTTTAAAAAATTTAGAAAATATTCAGATTTTTTTGCTTAACAAGAGAATATAGCAAAGCAGTGGGTATTTTGCAGCAGTTTATTAGAGACAAGAAGATTAATAAATTACAATAGTCTTATATAAAAGATTACTTTAATTTTTAAGACTTTGATTAATTATTATAATAAATTTTAATGGCTAATAATAAATTTTTAATACGATTGAAAAAATAATATGTAATAATAAAAATAACATGATATGTGCAGTAATTGAGCCATTAAAAAATACATTTTTCTCTAAGTGCACACCTTCTCTAAATGCACACTTATGGCTTGTCCGGGGTGGTGTGTTTATCTGTACATGGTAACCAAAGTACAGAAAATTTTTTAAATATTCAGTTCTTTTAACGAGAAGGCTTATTACGCATACCCTATTTTCCTAGAAATAAACACCCCTGAGAATAAGCACCCCTGGTTAGATTAAATTATATGAATAACATCGCACCACGCATCCCAAGCATGCAAAAGAATTGTGATACAACAAATAATTTTTCTTGAGCCAGGAGGAAAAATTGTGGACGATGATTTTGTTTGGGGCGGAAGCGAATCTTATATAGCGCTAATTTAAACTGCTCAGAAACAAGCATCACCTTCATTTTGCTATGCTGATTGATATTCAAGAAATTGTCTAGAAATAAGCACCGCCCCTATTTGGAGTCCAAAAAAACGGCAGTCAAGCGATGTTCATTTCCGGGAGAATACAAAACCAAATTCTATTTATGTAAATTTTAATCAGTACTTCGATTTAGTGGGGTTGACTGTAAATTAGCAAACCATTCGAACAATCGATTGAAGAATAAATCTAATTAACAATTGTATCCTATTCAGAATTTTGAAACTTTCACCTAATTTAGTGTTGACCGTAATGAATAAATCTGTCTCTTTTTACGTAGCCGTAGACATCATTATTACCGATTTATAATTGAAATCATTTCCATGGTAAGCGCATAACAATCCATGTAGAACTCACGCTATTAATGATAGAAATTACGTAACTATTCGTAACACATAGCAATAGGGGCAGTGACACAATAAAATGAATGGATGTTGTTTCACCTCATGGTTCCATTGTTAAACGCAATAACTAACTAAGATGACATACTGTAACTTGCTATGATATAACTTTCTAAAAAGGGTGATAGCATCATCATTTTGATCTTTACACAAGATTATTTAGTTTGACAATAACGATAATAATAGAGCTAAAAACCGATATAAATACATCGATTTTTTGCTCGCTTTTTTTAATCCTAAACTCTTACAGTATCAAACAACAAAAAAGCTTATCATGTCTCAAAATCATATAAAAATACGACCAGCAGGGTTTCCTTTTCATTTAACTAACGAAGACTATCTTTCAAAAAACTTTGAAAGCGAATTCATATTCACACTGCCAAACGGATCAAACAATACACTACAAACATGGACACTGGTTCCACATCAACATCCATTATTCGCCGGTGGGTTTTTGATTTTATTAGATGGAATGAAAAACGTCGCGCTCCAATATAATTGTAAAAAGAATAAAGTAACTGCTTCACATTTAATCCGAGGAAGTCCTTGGTTTGTATGGCGGATTGAACTTCACGAGTCTCCCAACAATAGTTTTGAAGTCGAATGTACAATTAGCCCGTTTTTGAAACCTTCGCTTGGATTAACACATAAAGGTGCATCGCAACCTGTTTCCGTTGAACCTGTTTATGAAGAAATGGAACGACAGAAGTGGTTTTTGGTACTCGCTAGGAAAATGTATAAATTATAGGGATTCTGTCTCTAAGATTATTGTTGTATTCATTATTAAGTACAATCTAGTTCTGATAATTTTCATAAATATATAAAGATAAAGTTTTAGAATATTTATTTAATTAGTAACTTAACACATTTAATATTTTGTATAATATCAAATATATAAGTTAATTAATGGCGTATCGTAAATATTACGGGGAATAAAATTTATTCTATCTTATGTGATTGGCATTACCTATAACAATAATTTATCTTTTAATTTTTAATTTTTCAATAGGTAATGCAAGTCTTTCCTAGCCTGCCCATTTATGCAATTTAACAAATGAGGATAAAATTAATAAATTTTCTTAGAAATTTATTTTCTCCGAATTATTTCAAATGCATCTAATCAAATTCAGATTCCTCCTCCTATATACACTGTGTAACGAAAAAAACGGCGATGACAAATTTTTGCATTTCTGAGCAACTACAACAGATATTTAAATAAAATTTGATGTGTTAAAAAGCCTAAAAGATTCTTTATTAACCGTAAAATTTTTAGTAGGGAATTCTATCACCATTTGCTTCTATTACTAGTTCACATCTATTTTTTATCAATCATACTAAATTAATTACTGTTTCATTAGGAATTGCTTTCTATTCTTCAGTTAAAAATTACTTCAATTGCTCAATATTTTGCAGCATTTGTCACTTGACTTTATTCTTAATTATTTGTCACAAGTTTTCAATAAGATTAAGATTGGGACTGTTTGCCAGCCAGTCAATTGCCTTAATCCTATTTTCTGTGATAAAATTTTTTGCTATCTTGAACATGTGCTTCAGATTATTATTCTGTTGCAAATGCCAGTTATTACTGTACATGTTCTATGCAGCAGGTAAAAGCTAGGTTTGCAGGATGTTAACATAAAATAGCCTATCCATTATTTCAGTAAAGCAAAATAATGGTATTTTTCTTCTAAGTGAGATTCCACCTCATGCCATAATCTTCTGACATATTTTAGATAGCTGCCAAAAAGATTTTATTACAGTTTTGTGTTACTAACAGATTTTATTTCAGAAAAGATCAAATGCAGTCTTATTGATAAAGATGGTATGGCTCTAGTTGTCTTGCATATATATTTTTGTCCATCTTTTTCACATTTTCACATGCTGATCTATGAGCATTAGCATCTCATAAGGTATGGAGCTCATATAACCTTTTTTTCTTAAATTTCACCAAATTATTTGATATAATATTGATGTTTCTTGATTTTCTTGCACTTTTATAGCAAGTTATCATGCTGAAATGCTATTATTATTACATATATATTGTCCAATGGTAGTAGTGATTCTTTGTATAATCTTAGATTTGCAGCTGTTCCCTCATCAATACTCTATTATATCTATTTCTTTAAGTTTTTTGATATTTCATTCAATAGTTCAAAGGGGAATGTTTGTTTTTTGGTGGATTTCATTTGTTGAATGTGTACCATTCAATCAGTAATGTAATATTATTTCACACTGTGCATGGAGCTTTGTATTAACTATGTTTTGTTCTGTTGTATGGGCAGCAAGAGGATGTAAATAATTATTTTACCTTTAAATCTGTTTGTCCAAACAGGTATTTATTAGAAAAACAAGATGCATTTATAATCAACAATATGGTTTTTTATTTATTTTGAAAAATATTTTGTTTTAGCAACTGAAATTTTTTTTGTTATACAGTGTAATCATTTCTTATATAGTCACATCCTTTTATAATCACATTTTTCCAATTACAGCTGTTATGAATAATAGGAACTTTTGGCCTCCACGTTATCACTATCACAATTTTAAATGGATGTAGTTCATGCATATATTAGACTCATATGATAAAATTAAAACCCTCTTTTAATTTCATTTTTCAATTTATTTATTCAAGGATGCTGCCATTAATTAATATATCTTCCTACTCCAACCCCACATCACATATGCTAATTACATTGTTTTATGAAAACATCAATAAAGTAAGATTTCTAAACATACGTCATTTAAGTAATCACTCATGGAAAAAAATATCGTTTAAGGAGTAAACCAATGATATAAATCAACCTCTCTATAATGACATCAATTATCATGGCTAATTTGGTCTCTATATAGTGACCATATTATCCAGGATAATTTCATAGTAACCACAGAGAAATTGACAGTCTCTATAAGATTTCATTATAAAAAAGTGTTGTGGAATGGAGGTTGACTTGTATGAAATTGAAATACTGTTACCAATATAAAATTAAATTTGTCGATCTTATTATTCCGTAATTCTTCGGTTGGCAATTTTTATATTGTTCATGATATATGTAATCCAATTTACTTTTACTTGTATTTCTCATAAAGATATGCATTATAATTATATGAATAAATAAATTGAAATACAAAGAAATTGCAATTCTTTTGTTTGGAACGAACGCTACCAAGCATAGCGGGCTTTAATTTTTTATTGATGATCGATCGAAATGTAGCAGCACAACGTTCGCAGCCACGAATACGAATCGGTGACCAAAAACTCTAAAGAATTCGTTATTATTTATAAACCGTTAAATAATTCGGTAATCCGCAAAGTATTCGGAAATTAGATGAGAGACATTCTCAAAATTATTGTTTAAACATAATCTATTTAAACTATACAATTTATTTTATTCGCGTTAGTTTTAGTCGTCCTCTCATAGGTTGATTTAGTTGAATAGAATAAAGATCGTGTGTATTTAATTTATTTAATTCGTTTGGATTTAGTCGGTGAGTATAATATTTACGTGTATTATTACTAAATTTCATTATATTATTAATTTAATCGGTGGGCGTAAAGCTATACTGTATTTAAAATAGGCTATTCAAGTTCATAGATATTAGGGTGTATCTCCAGACATTAATAATTAGCGAGGTACAGTAATTTATCTTTATAATTTTTATTTTTTATCTAATGGTAATGATGCAGGTAATAAACATTGTACTTACAATTCTTCTTCGAGCGCAGGTTATTTAACATGTTTTAGATTTAATGCTATAATATCTTTTGTATTCAATAAATTATAATTAAATAAAAGAAGAATCATCATTATTATATAATTTTATTATAAAGACTTTTTAAGATAGCTAATTCTTTTAATAATACAGTATTCAAATATATCTTAATTGAATAATATATATTAGCCAATCAGATTTAATAAAGTCATGAAATGCTCTATAAAAATTAGCCAATAACAATAAAACTTGCTATGCTAGCCAATAATATTTCACAGTCGCCATAAAAAGTGACGCCCGATTTGCATGTGTAACAACATAGGCACCGTAAAATACTGCTTAGAATACCTCCTATAGTACAAGACCCTCTATATTATGTACCCGGATATATATCACAGTTTTAGCATTGGTAAAATATAATAGACCCGGGTCTGTAATAATTTTTAAAAGTAGATCCTTTTTTTAATGTACCTCCTATTATCTCTAACTGATTGTCACATGAATTTTTTGATAAAAAGTCAATTACATGTACTTTGTCATTTGATCAATATTAACTGGATGAAAAAAAAGTTAACTTCATTTATATAATTAATAAACTCCTACTTATAATAATTATCACTATTATTTTCATCTAGTTTAACTTTATTTATTAAATCAGCTAAATAAAAAGACTTACTAATATTTTCCTGATAATTCTCTTTATTTTTATTATCTTTATAAAGATATTCTTCATTTTCATCTCTAGTAAATTTGTTTTCATTATTTAATGCATTTAAATTAATATATGCAATTATAATGAATATATATAATCTGATAATTTATTATATAATTATATAATATTAAAATTATATATTATATCTCATGATCAAAGATCTTCTATATAATATTCTTCTATATGAATATCTTTTTCTTGACAATATACAGAAGATGAAAAGAAATATTAAATATTTTATATTTTTTTAAATTAATTTATATTATTAGATTTTTTTTTGATAATTATTATTAACATAGTAACATAAATTTTTTTAATTTCATAATTTTTCAAACTTAAAAAATTTGACTAATCAAATAATCTTTAGAAGATATATGATCTTGAATAATATAATTGGTATATCAGTTATAGATTCAATCATGATTCAATAATATTTTTGCAATATTCTTGGAATATTTTTGCAATGTTCTATAATTATCAATGAATAATTAGTTCCAAAATCAACAACAGTTCACAAACAGTTTAATAATGATTTAGAAACATTTTAAAAATAGTTTAGCAACAAATTTTATTTATTTTTATCATTTATTTTTTCTTTTTAGAATATTTATCTTATCTTTTCTTTTTATTTTGTTATTTGTATTATTATTTAACCTACCATATTTTTCTTATCTCTTATTTTTATTTGTTTATTTATTAATCTTTTGTCCCAAAGATTATAATTGTAATCTAGAGTAGCAAATAAGTTTAGATAGAAACTTGTCAAACCTCAAAGATGTATAAATATCTCTGCTCTGAGACTTGAAATAAATATACTTAAATAGCAATAATTTAATTGTCTTTTGAAAATACTTGAGTTATACTTATCTTGTAATTTTT